CCCCAAAACCCCAAAACCCCAAAACCCCAAAACCCCAAAACCCCAAAACCCCTTGATATTTAATAAGAATTGAATTTGAAATATTTTTAAATAAGAGAGTTGATTTAAATTTTTACTTATTTTTTTAAATTTCTTCCACTGGAAATTATAGAACTATCCTTGAGGTATGTAGAATTCCGCTCTGGTTAGTATTGAAGCGATTGGTTGCTAAAGACTCTTGTCTAGGAGTCGAAATTACGTTCTTTCTTCAAGAATTAATGACTAATCTCTGTTTATTCTTTTCATTGACCGCTCTCTGCCTTTTCTCTCTCATCTGAGTTTCAAGAGCCATTTTTATTTCTAAAATAGAATCTATACCTTACCATTCTTTTGCTGACTATAACGATTACCTTCTCTCATATACTTCTGGGCCAATTTTTGGTTAACCCTCTTCGCACGCTGTTTTTCAATTTGATCCTCAGCATACCTTCTTAACTTCTTGGCTTCTAATTTATGCCTTTCTTCAGTCATAAAATTGACCTCTGCCATTTTATTTACTCCGCTCAATTTTGGCGGCTCTTTTATTTACCTCATCCCAGTGCTTATTGAACTGCTGCTGCTCAGCTTTCTTCAGGTCAATTGCGTACTCTTTCTTGAGCTTATTCGACCTGATTTGGTCTAAAATCCCACTTTTCCTTTGATCTTCACACATTTTATTTAACTCTGGTAAATTTTTCATCAGGGTGGATTTCCAGAATCGTCCCTGCGTCTACTTTAGGAATATTAGCGTTCTGCCTGCTGACTATATCTCTGTAGCATAGCTCTTTGTATATGTTCCGGTTCTTTGATTTACTCTGATGAACTATTTGTCTTGGATCGCCAGAGAACTCAAGAGTGACCCCATTCGTCCGAGGAGTAGGCTTGTTGGTCAGCATTTCCTTCTGAAGTTCATACTTGCTTGGCTGTGTGCTTGGGATTTTCATGTCATTTCTGAAATTAGTCACATATCTGGTATATCTCTCCTTCTCTTGCCTCTCTTGATGCTTTTCGAAGGCGTTACTTAGCACAGCAGCTTGGAGGTCTTCTTCAGGAAATCTATCCTCAGAGCCTGCTTTGTCACACAGATCAAGGAATACTGTATTGGTCTCATCAGGAGGATTTTCGAAATTTTTGGGTGGAGATCTGTGGTGGAAGTCGAGCTTATCTGGGTTGAAAGTAGGGCTCTGCATTGAATATCTTCTAAAATCCATATTCTTATTTTGAATTTGCTTGTTCTCATTCAAAATAGTTGACTCAATTTTGGTCATTGGCCTAGCTTGATGAGAAACCTTATTTTCTTTGGTTGGGTTCTCTGACTTTTTAACAGGGATTAATCTATCCTCTGGAAAGCTCTTTTGAGACGGAGGAGCTTTGCTAGCCAAAGATTTTTGAAATTTATTGACTGTCTTCATAAGATTCGAAACTGATTCTTTAGTCTCTTGCTTTTTCTCATTGTTCTTGGGCGACTTTTTTAACTCCCAAATTTCCATTGCACCTTTATCAAATTGAGTGACTTCCCTAATTTTAAAAGTTGGTTTTCTTTGAATTGTAGGCTCCTCAGATTTTGTATTTCCCTTTCTGTTATGGGAAAACTCGAAAGAAGACATATTTTTGGTATTTCAATTATTCTTCCTAGTAATCCTCTCTGCTATCTTCCCATTTACCTGAAACATCCGATGAGACAGCACAGATTGGTTATTCTTTACCTTCCCAAGATTATGCATCAGCTGAGAAGTGGTAAGGTACCTCTCACTGTCATCATCCCTCATATTTGGACTAGTTTCATAAAACACCGAATTTGATTTGAGACTTGGGTGATTGAAGCTCTTGTTCTTTGAACCTTTCCTCATTGGCTTCTGATACAAACTAGGATTCATATTTCTAACCCCTGCACAGACAATATTTCCATCAATTTTATATCTCTCTAGCATATTTGGACTCTTGTACCGATTCATTGACTGAGAATGCTCCCTCTGGGCAGAACGACTTACAGATAAGTCTTGCTGAATTGCCTTGTTATTTTGATAAACCTAATCCTCAATGACTACGTCTGTGAGGATGATGATCCACAAAGGATAACTGATTTGTGGTAACAAAGTGATCGTCTTTCATTTTTCTGTTATTTTTAAATTTTTTATTAATACATGCCAATAAAAATATATTAAAAGGGGTTTTGGGGTTTTGGGGTTTTGGGGTTTTGGGG